TAGTAAAATCTTTTTATACATAGTATTAGGTAATTATAACTATACGGTAGAGTATATTAATTGATGGGAAAGGTATGTGAATATATGATACCATTTTCGACGACATTAGTGATGGTGAAGTTAACAGTGGGTGATATGACTTGAGGTCCCTGTCCGGCCCCGAACTGAGTCAAGCTCTTGATGGTGACGCCCAGTGTCTCTCTGGCCAATGGATTACTGGTGTAATAGTTGGCGCAACTCATGTTCAGGAAGAATAGCTCGTCCCTCCCGATGGATATCACGTCCAACTTCCCGGTGCTCTTGCAGTTGTCATACAGTTCCAGGTTATGGATTTCAGTGGCTATACATTCATTATAAATATGGGTATTATTTATGCATATTTTAAAAAGTATGTTATTATGTAAAATAGTAATTCGTTTGCAAAATAAAGTTTTGTTATATTTTTATAATTATATTAATTATTGCTCTAATTAATTAATTAACACTATTTTTAGTAAATAATTATATATTGTATGATCTAAGCCGAAAATTTTAATTAGATATTTTATTGAAAATAATTTTTAAAAATATTTTGAATATGAAATCTAGGAAATCGTCAACACTTAAAATTGTATCATTAATTGTCTTAAAAGTTAAAAATATAATTAAAATAGAGTATACTATTACTACAAATTAATGGCATACATACTTCGTGCCAAAACATACTTCAACTCTACGGGACTAAGCAATGCATTAGCACTTTGGCCGTAGTTTATAGTATCGATTTGTAGGCCAGACAGTGGCTGTAGGTGTTGTGGCAGTACGTATTGTCCACTCTTGGGATCATAATTAGGGTTGGCATTTGAAATACCTTGATAGTAGTCGCACAAATCATTTAATGAATTAATTAAATAATAATAAACCCACACTAAAGTTTGATTGTTATAAACTTACATGAATTCAATGAAATGAGAGTTAAAACAAATATCAATGTATACATGATTTTTATGATTATTTTTTTCAATATTATAAAAAATAATAAATTATCTATTACTGTGTCCAAATAGGGATAATATTACTTTTGGAAATAATATATTGTATATAAAAATTAGTTTGAATACGTATTCATATGAAAGTATGTCTCTATTATCGACGGCTAACTACTATTAAACTCGAAACTACTTAATACCTGTCGTCCCCTCCCTGTCCACATATGCAATGCCATTAATTCGTATGTAGATTATTATAAAAACAAAAAACTTTATTCATATTATAATACTTTTATATTGAATAAAACTTTTTGTTTATTTTGCTGACCCAATTTATCGATATTCAAACTCTAACACTATGTGCAAAATGTTATACAAAACTAAAAGTTGTAATTTTGTTTTATAAAAATTTTTTTGGTTAAAAATCATTTTAATCTCAATTCTTATTTTTGTTTCACTTTTACAGAAAACTTTTCTCGTTATAAGACTTTCTGATATGAAATACCTGTGCATAACGTTTAGAGTACGTGTGCCTGCCTTCAGGTGCGACCCTCACAGTCCAAGTACTTTGAGATATACCTAAACATTGAGTTAGGATTGTGTTAACCCATTGCCATCCAATCTGTTAGACTTTTTAATTAATTAATTTATTGATAATACCGTACTAACTATATTTGTGGTCATTGGCCTCTAATCTATATTAGATTTATTTATATTAATATTACACAATTAGTACAATGACTACAGTGCACGGGTATACTGTACCTACCGACTACCTACACAGTATAACTAAAATCTTATTCATAAACTTACACAATATTATACAATATGTATATCAAACGCACACTCACTAGCAGCTATTATTTCATTTTTATATGTAATACTTTGTTTATGATTTTTGATTCACTATTTAATTAAGTAATAATTTGTGAATTTATTTAATTAAACTATTCTCTAACAATATTCTAAATATTTTAATAAATATTATTTTTCCAAAATTTATTTCCAAGCTAACTATACATAATAATTAAAATAATGTTTACTAAAAGTGTTAATTTTATTGAATAACTTAATAGTAACGACTGTAATGTGAATTAAAACAAGTATTTGTGGTATAAAAGAGTTGTAAATGTCTTATGTATTGTGGTATCCGTTGTTCACAACATCTCGTATTCATGCGAGTCATGCAACACAAACTGATTTCATTGCAGAAACCAATCTGTGAACACTAAACGGGTATCACTTTTGCTGCAAAACACACATAAATATAGTATCACTTATATTTAGCCAAGATAACTTTTTCTTAAACTTAAAATACATTTCTTAATAAAACTTGAATTTTTAATAGTAAGTACCGGTAACAATTCATAACACAATTAAATAGTGTATTAAAAGAATCTAGTTTACTATTTAATTTTATCAGTAATTTGGTAATAAATTGCTAGGTGGGTTAGCATATTAGCCAGGATTATTTATATTCTGCAATAATATATGGAAAACAGTGTGAATACCCTCTCATATAAATCTAAAATCAAAGTCAAAAGTCATTAGTTATTCATTAGTCTCATCATTAAGACTACATTTGACTTAATAAATTAATATTAAATTTCCATTGTTTTTGTTTAATTTGTATATTTATCATTATTTTTAGTTTCGTCTATTTTACTATTATACATTTTAAATAAATAGAAAACTTTTTCAATTCAAACATTTGCATACAAAAGTTTAAGTAAATAGCTATCATGAGATACTAAAATAATTATTGATTTAAGTTTTAAATTAAAAATAGTATAGTGAATATTTTAATATCTCTACTTTAATAACAACTATAAATTAAAAAACATTATGAATTTTAACAAACCTTTTTAAAGATTAATTAGCATAATATAAATCTATTTAAATATTTTAAAATATACTGTTAAAAATACTATAAGTAAAAGTAAAAATATTTATTTTGAGTTTTAAAGTTTGAATAAAATGAGACACAATTTGTCAAAACATGACAAACCATACAATACTCTGAGAGATAGTATCACAAGAATCGAGAGAACAAATGAACTCTTTATGATATATATGGTTAGGAATAGTGAGGAATACATGTGTGGATATCGAAGTAAATGGAGGTTTTATATTATCCTATTGGCCAGGATAATGTTATTACTAAATTGCATTAGATTTGCTATGACTGCAATAATTAACAAGGCAAGTTTTAACATATTATTTTGTCGTTATTATAACTTCATAATATTTAATACTATTCTTAGCAATGGATTCGTGACCTCATGTTTGATCCGACGTATACGTTGGCCAACCCTGTTATCACGGCATCATTGATAAGCATACTATCATTTGCTATACTGTTGGTGGGGATGGTATCACAGTATCTGGAAATGACACATACATTATATTTATATGAATTCTTCTATTGCCTCAAACACAAGTTCATTAGATATCCATTAAATGATAATAATTTGAAATGCTATTCAAATCGTTTCAATACAATCACAAAATCACAATATAATGGATCCATTTATGTGACATCCATTGCCACAGCAATTATTATGATCTTTGGATCAGTTCTGGCATTCAATGATCCAAATGCTAACTTTCCAACCATTAGTCTAATCATAGGATCTGTCATTTTTGTGGTATTCATAATACAAACCTATGGCATACTATGGGTTGGGTTCAGCTTATGGTACACCTGTTCACTGTATTTAAAGTTAAAATACACAGAAGTTTACGAAAAGATTTTATTATCACTAAAAATGGCGACAATTATCAACAGTCTCGAGACGAGACTTAGCGCTCGTATCATAATGAGAGCCATTTGTGAACACAATTCAGTCGAGACTCTAACCCGTGATTTGAATTATTATTTGCGTTTTCGGGCGTTTGTTATCTACTATATCGCGACCCCGGGCTTTCAGATACTATTGTATTGTATACATCATAAAGAGTCTAATTTTTATACCAGAATTTTTGCCGCATTTATATCGTTCACGTGTTTTTCGGCCATAATTTCTATGAACGCCATTAGCACCTGGGTCACTAAGGCTGCCCACAAGCCGTATCCATTGCTATATAAATATTTGATTAAATATTCAAATATATCGTTGAAAAACAGGATTAAGATTCTGGCGTTCATTGAGAAGTTGTCGGGACCTGACATTGGTTTCTATTGCTATGATTTGTTCCCGATGAATAACTAAATAAATATTTGATTAAATATTCAAATATATCGTTGAAAAACAGGATTAAGATTCTGGCGTTCATTGAGAAGTTGTCGGGACCTGACATTGGTTTCTATTGCTATGATTTGTTCCCGATGAATAACTATGAGTTGTACCGGTATATATTTATCTCCAGTTTGAATTATATTTTAATAACTATCATTATTAAATGAGATATACTGTAGGTTATGAAATATTTTATTTTTAAACATTTCAAAATGTATAGAATTAATTTCATTGAATAATGTATGGATTATTTTTATTTAAATAAAATTTTTAAACTTTGAAATCAATGAACTATCAGTAGATATATTGATAACCTATGTACTTCACTTCCAAATATCTCACATATAATCATGATATACGCTGTATAAGAATTATCTATGTCAATTTATTTTATATTTAGATAATAATGTATTTTATTCAAATTATAAGATTTCTATAACTATTTGGCAAAATCAAATCAATCGTCAAAAGTTTTAGTTCATAATCGATTGAAAATGATATCATTTATACAACATTTGTGCGGTCCGTCCATTGGTTTCTATTGCTATGATTTGTTTCCTATGAATGACTATGAGTTTTATCAGTACCTGTATATCGCGGGAATGAATTACTTTTTAATTATGAAATTTTTTAAATAACCTTTTACTTGTTTATAAATATTGAAAACATTAAACTCATAAATAATTGAAACATTGTACAACTGATTTACTTTATTGTTTTTTGTGAAAAACATTTATAACAAATAAAACTTTTTTTGAGCCCAAGTTTTAATATGAAATACACTTTGATTATGGTTTAGGACTTATTTGATGACTTCATTGCCGTATGGTTTGCGCTGAATAATGACTGTCGTATGGGTCTCCCCGTCCTCTACAGGGGGTAACTGTATGTCACTTTTGGTGGAGTGTCCCGAATGTCGTTCCCCTATGACTGACCGATTGCTTTGCTGACTATCGACCGACTCTTTTCGCTGATAAATCCTATAAATCATAACATTTTACTACAATCAATGTTCTTGATACATTTTTATATACTGTACTAGACAATTTATATACCTGTTACTAGTGATTGGTTCGTTGGTCATAAATCCGATGTCATTGGAGTCGATGTCGAGTTTCTTAACAAAAGTATGGATTTCGCGATTAATTTGCACCAAATCGGGGTATATATGTTCGGCCGCCCCCTCAGCCCCTCTATCTCTTAATCTCTCCTCAAACACCTGTCCGGCCATTGACCGCATGCCCGCCTCCACATCAAACTCATTCATTTGCTTTCGTGGTAGAGGTTGGGGTGGGGTTTGGGTTTGGTTTTGGTTTTGAGTCTGGGTTTGAGATTGCGATTTGCGTTGAGGCTGGGAATAGGTTTGAAGTTTAGCTTGAAGTTCAGCTTGAGTTTCGGTTTGAGTTTGGGTTTGTGTTTGGGTCTGGGTTTGGGTTTGGGATTGTTGTGGATAAGGGCTGTTGTTTTTGGGGAACTCCTGTCCAATCGGCGGTATATTCGGTGGTAGGTTCGGCAGTCCATTCACTCGTAACTGTTGTAAACTATTATTGTTGTTATGATTGTTTGGTTTGGTTTGCCTTTCATAAGGATTAACTGGACTTTTCTGTTATTAAAAATATATATAAATTATTTCTGATTTTTCAATTCATATCAAATATAAAGTACTGGTTTTCCGCGTCCTTTGAACTTCAAGTATGAGCCGATCATAGAGACGCCCACTCCCAACAGCACCGTCAGTATAAAGCCATACCCGGCCGCGTTTATGGAATAGGACCCGGCTTTTATCAATGAACCCAAAAATCCGCTCAATTCCGCACCCTTTGTTTCATTAGATTTTTGTTTTAATAATAATAATTATTATTTAATAAAAATAAAAACATTTGCTATTTCTATACATCAATACCTCATCGATCCATAAATATGGCAAAAGTGTTGACTTGAATCCATTGAGTCCGGGCACAAATGTAAATGGCCTGAGTTTGAGATTAATCTGGAAACGTCCGCTACCTCTAAGTGTTACCCCTAATGTCTAAGTGTACAGAAAAAATAAATAAACATTTTGTTATCAAATTATCGCAATGTTATGTCAATTACGGGCTCGATATCGAAATATCCCAGATGCTTTTGCCGGTCGGGACTGAGTCCCCGGACACCCGGTAGAAAACGCGGCGAATTGAGGAAATGCGGGAAAGTCATGGCAAAGGGAACGCCTGCCAGACACTGGGAGAGGTCGAACACGCCGTGACATTTACGCTGATCCACATCCTTGGGACAGAAGCACCAGTTCTCCGGTTTATACTCCGGGCCGTCGAATAGGTTGTCCGGGAATTCGTAGTGATAGGCCGACACACCATTGGCCGATGAATCGCTGTGTAATAGGGTTTGTGCTTGTTCATATTTGGTAATTGTTTTGTTGAAGTGTGTTTATAAGTACCCGGCGTAGTCGAGTCGAAAGGAACGGCATGCATGCAGATTGAATAGATAGAGGGGTTGAGAGCTGTCCACAAATGTGCCGAAAAATGAGCCGTCGGTGCCGTTGAGGGCATCGCATGACACGTGTCGGTATATACCTAAGCGACTGATACACAGGTAATCATAACCATTAATTGTGTTTATACAGTATTTACATAAAAGTAATTCGTTGAAAATAGGTTAATTAGTTCACTTAGGATAGACACTGTAGACTTTGTAAATAAGTTATAATAGAAATTAATACTGCTTGTATAGTGTTTTCAAAATTAATAATGTAATTTATTTATGAAAAGTAAAACTTATACATTAAAAATAATAGATAGAGAAAATTTATCATAAATTTAGAAATTAGATATTATCTATAAATCATAAGTTATAATTTGATAGCAAAATTTAGAAGTACTAATAAAGTAAAAATATATTTTAAACATTATATTTAAATAAATTTAAAATTATTAAGAATTATAAAAATTTTTAGACTATTACCGTAGTTATCATGGCAGTGACATTTAACTTGTAAGCCTAATAAACTAGTTGCGTGTATTAACTTTATAAACTTACTAAATCTATAAATAATAAGGTATGTAGACTACTTATTGATGTTTTTAATATAAATATTTTTAAACATTAAGTTTGATTTATTTGAATACTGTAGTACTAGTTATAAAGTTGATAATAAAAAACAATTCAATGCACATACCTTTTGTCTAAATAAGTGGAGTATTTGTCAAACTTGTCTCTACCCCTCTCACCAGTCATTGTCTCAAAGGGTCCAAACTTACTATTGTTTCTTATGGCCAAAAATCCGTACTTATTATCCTTCAGTTTATAAGCAGAGATACCGTATTCAGGGATGGGTAGGCCTAACATACGCAACGGTTTGGCCACTATATCAATGGTGTCCAATAGTGTTATGCGGCGACCGTTCAGTACTTCGCCGACAGTACGGGTTTCGATAAACCGCTCCCTATGTGTGACCAGTAGTGTATTGACCACATTGTTCACTATAGGGGACACTATTGGTGTCAATGGGAACCTCTCGACCGCTGAGTTTATGATCGAGAATATCAACTGAAATATTAGTGAAATTGCAAATTAATGTCATTTTTTGATGAATATTTTACGGTATAATAGTTTTAGCTTAATTTTTTAATTTATGGTAAATTAAACAACTTCTGGTTCAATATATCGGATGAGTCCTGACTAATATAGGCTTATCTTTCGCTTCTTGCAAGCATTTTTGTTTACAACTAAATATTAATATCTTTTTAACTTAAACTCATAGACTTTATACACTAAAGATTTTGATATTTAGTCGTAAGCAAAAAATGCTTGTAAGAAGCGAAAGATAAGCCTATATTAGTCAGGACTNTATCTTTTTAACTTAAACTCATAGACTTTATACACTAAAGATTTTGATATTTAGTCGTAAGCAAAAAATGCTTGTAAGAAGCGAAAGATAAGCCTATATTAGTCAGGACTCATCCGATATATTGAACCAGACTTGATTTTTGTGTGTATAAACTACTGTATAGCATGCTATTTATTTTATTATACAAATTTATATTGAGCTAATACAGAATTTGTATTATTAATGCTTATGATATAACCTTGGACAAAACTACACCAGATATATAACTTACTAATTATAGTACTGTAGTTCGGAATAATGAATACAATTATGTAACTCATGTAGTTAATTTGTTTTTAATTTAAAAGTGACTCACTTTTTTATATGAATCATTGAATCCTAATTGTTTATTATGTATATTTGTTACCTGATAACTTTTCATTGAGTTTTATCTTTACTATTTAGCCCGTCTCTGATATCATTATTATTTTCAATGACAGCTTTGATTTATTGAAAGTTAATTGCTTTTATCGAGTAAATTATCTTATGATATGTGACTCAAACATATCTAATGCTATAAATATTTTTTGAATGTATAAAAATAAAAATATTATTTTTATAGATTTTTATGTAATCTAATGTCATCTTAATATTATTTATGTTAAATAAATGTAATAAATAAAATTAGATAAATATATGACTTACTAGCAGCGGAACATTGACCAGAGTAATTTTATCATCGAGTCTGCCTTTACTAAGTTCAGGGTCAAATACAAACTTCAGTGTCTCGTAGTATTTTACTTTATCCTTATCCTCAGACCTTTAGTTTAAAAAAATAAATTTTTATTCATAATCATGTCAATCATGGTAATCATATATTAATATTTTTAATTAATATAAACATAATTATTGATAACTATTCAAATTATAGATAAAAGTTATTTGTTTCTAATCATTATGAATATATAAATTAAATATTTAATAATTACTTACCATTCGATGATTTCTCTAGTTTTATACTCTCTGTGAAAATCAAATGACACAAAAATACAATCAATAAAAAGTTTGTGAAATAAAAGGTAAGTGAGTACTGACTTATAGACATAGGGGCCCATCTCCCTGACCACAGGAACGGCACCTTCAGAGAACTCATTCGGATTTTGAATGTCAAACAAATAGACTTTTG